GACAGGTTATCTGATAAACCCAGTTCTGATTTATCATAAAGATGAGTGAGGCAGAAGAATTAGATTTACTATAAAATGCTCAGATCATCATGCAGACCAAGATAGAAAACGATAGTCACAATGGGTGTAGATCACAGGGACCCCATACTTCAGGTCATATCTTCGCCCCATTGTTACACATGCATTCTACCTTTGCAGATTATCACACAGTGGGTTTATCCAGAATATTTTGTTGAATAAGAGCTTAAATAATACTGAAAAATGTTTCAAGAAGTCTGGCATAGACACTTTACCATCTTAGTTTTCCAGAGTTACTTACAAGAACGATGAGCACAAATACAGGATCTAAATGATTGATTATTTAAGATTATCTGCCACATCAACAGCTAAGGTTATTAGTGACGAATAAATTGTTAGACTGAAATATTAAAATATTTAAAACTTTAAAAATCAATCAATGAATGTCTTTATATCAATAAAGATGAATAACAATACAATGTTATAAATCAAAGCATAAATATTATGTTCTAATTGTATAAATTACTGCATAAATATTATGCATAATTAAATTTTATTAAAGATATTAGTCTCCCTTCGGAAATTAATAAGACTTACTATGTCCTCCCCTAATATATTTTCAAATTTATATGGGGGAGATAAGTTCATACGTCTTTGATCTGAGAATGTTGCACATCTTTCCTCTCTATGAGCGACTGTTAATGGCTCTTGGCATCTCCCACAAAAGTGCTTCACTTTTTGGCCTTTCTGATTATCTCACTCACTCCCACTGATGCCAACAGTCATCTAGTCATCTAGACTGCTGCAAGGAGGCATATAATTCTGCAGTGAAGATTAGGACTGCTGAAGAAATCTTCCTCCCGCTCACTGCTTGAAAACCCACACTATTTTCTGATTTTGAACCATCTGCATATATTGCATCTGATCCTTGGTACTTAGAAGTGTGCTGAAGGAATTTCCCCCTGATATCTGCTTTGGATCTCTCCCCCTTCCCTACTCCGACCAAATCCAGCTCGACTTGTTTGGTTCAAGGGAGAAATTGGGAGCCTTTTTCCATGTGAATGGCACTGTGCCCTCCCTAAAGATCCTATTGAATAGGTCCAACAGAAACTTTTAGGGGATCTCAGATCAGTGAGATATCATTTGGTACCGTAGAGCTGCAAAGCAGAGTCCATCATCCTCTTGGCAAGCTGTATGGAAGTTCTGCTGCAATCCTACTAAAGAATGATATTAATTATCGTTCCTGTTCAGGATGGAGGGTAGAGAATCAAGCAGTGTAAGATGCACCAGAGGACATCTGTCATGAATTTAGCTAACTCATTTTTTGTATGTGAGAATCGGATCTTTTTATAATTTACATCACTGGGGTGTCGTTTTGACATCAGTCCGCCATGGCACCTGAGGTCGACGGTACTGCCCGCTGATTTTGGGAATGGATGCTTATGCTGGAAGGTGAATCCGTGATGTTTAGTGATCAACAGGATCTAGAACACTGGAAACCATTCATAGATCTCTACATTACTGCAATTGATCTAAAAAGGTTTACATCTCTTCACCTCATTGGCTGGTATGCCATTCACCTTTTTTAATATTATTGGAAAAAGGTCGCTTCTACATAAGTCTTCCATGAAGAGCCAAGTAAACTCTAAATGTGGACCAGGTGAACCAAGAGACAGGTCAATATTGGAGATTTCCCACGAGAAGAAATGGATTGGGCAACTTTACATTGGAACAGGTTCAGGAATACTATGCCAGGGCAAAGGACAGACCTGAGCCTTTGGTTCAAGGGCATTCTGACCAGCAGCAGAGGTTGCTGTGGATGTGGAGGCAGCTAGAGCTGCCACTAATGAGGCCTTTGAAGCCTCGCCTGAAAATAATGAGGAATCTCCTCAATAGACCTCTCTCTCCTACTCCACTTCAGGTGGCACAACTAACCAGAGGCAGTTTCTGGATCTGAAGCTTCCTTTGAGGAGGCAGTTGTGTAAGAAGTATCTTAGGATAAAGGATGATGGGAAGGAGATTGGACTAGAACCAATGCAAATCTTACCTGGCTGTGCAAAGGATGCTTTGCCCCTGGAAAACTTCCGTCCTCCTTATTACCAATAATTCCTATTTCAAACTTGTATCCTATACACTGCTATGAAGAACCTCTAAGGGCTTCTTTGCAATTATAATGGCAGACTGGACCTGGACAATTGTCATCTCCTTGATGACCTGTTGTACCACACTTGAAATGGCAAGAGTTGGCTCCATGTCGATAACACTGGCAGTGGAATTGAACACTTAAAGCTTTACCTTGGGGTGGTACCATGCCAACTCAACCGATTCTGGAAAAAACTAGTATTTCAAAAGTTAGAAGAAGAGCTGGTGTAGATCTAAACCAACTTTGAACTTTCGTTCCTCTAACAGTTAGTCCTCAGAATACCTTATTAGGTCTCAGGAAAAGACAATTCCCTTGCACAAATTGAGTGTTTTGTGAGGAGAACATGAAACTCGAGCCCCAGGAATGTCGCATACGGTTACTCTCATCTGGTGACGAAACCTCAACTATCAGGTTACCATCTTGGTGTGGGATGATCCGAGAATCATGTTGGCACACCTCAACTACCTTGCGATGCATTTCAAAATATCAAGATCCATGATGGACATGCCATCAATGGTCTTTACTACAATATCTTAAATGAGATACTTTAATATTTACCAGGTAAGATTTCCTTGACGGATTGAGGAGGACTTTTCTCCTCACCTGGTCTGGGAGCTCGGGAAGCATTTTAATTCCCATTTTTGCCCTTTGGAAGCTGGAAAGGTTCCAGAGTGACATGTCATGTTTCAGAGGGATTAACCAGGGGATTGCGTAAGTTGTCAAGGAAAGAGCCAGCTCTTTGTAAGTTTCTAGAAATCATTCAAATTTGAATTCTACATTACCTCCCCCCCCCCCCCCACCATGAAGTCCAATGAGAGGAAGCTATAGGTTGGGGCTCAAATGCACTCAGCAGCCACAGGGGTAAAGAGGAAATATCACCCAGTGCTGATGGCAGTCGCGGGATCTATGCAATGTTTGACCCTTGCCATATTTGACCATCCGATATATTTGACCGGGCCCTGATGAAGCCACCCGACTAACCAGAAAAGAGGACCAAAGAGGTGTGTTGCTAGATGCAGGGCACAGCGTGCAGCATCGCTCAACCTCCAGGACACCTGTCTCGCAACAATGCCACACTCGGCAAACATACGTGGGAGAGTTCTCCATGGTTCCAGATGGAATGAACCAAGGGTGAGTAACTTTATATTACTGTTTGCTTTATATATATATATATTTTTTTCGCTGCGATGATCTATCGTTTCCTTGTATTTCGTGTTACATGGCAGTAGTACAGTAGTAGCATATCTTGTGTTTAATGTATATTGAGTAGAAGTTGACAATAGTATGGGACATCATAAGACGGTATATTATAGATTATTATTATAGATTATTTTAGTTATCATCATCATTCATACAATTATTATGAAACTCATGATCACCATCATCACTGTTTCTATTGTTATTTTTGTTGTCATTATCAATGATATTATCATTGCTATCCTTAATAATTATATTGCTATTCTTATCATTAATATTACACCGTTATTGCCATCATTAAATGTAATATCTCTCATACTTCATTGTTTATTCAGAATTAGAACCTTATTGATTTATGAAATAAAGTTATATATTTTTATGTGTAACTGACTCTTGTATAATACTTGCAAGCTACTACAAGTGATGTACCGTTTATGAACCTGAAGCAAAAGGTATAATGCAGACCAGTGTAAAAATCCTGGTACTGCACCATCTCTCAGTTCCTTCCTGATGCCGTCGTAAGAGAGGAAATCGTATATTGGGCGGTAGGACGATGCTGGTCTTGGATTTTCGCTCTTTTAGATGTGGAAGAAATCTGACGAAGAGTCTATTTCAGGAAAAAAAAAAAAAAAAAAAAATGCAACTCACCCCGGGCTCTGGATTACTAGGATTCGCCTTCTCTCTGTTTCCCTGTTTCTCTGTCTCTCTGTTTCTCTGTCTCTCTGTTTCTCTGTTTCTCTGTTTCTCTCTGTCTCTCTGTTTCTCTCTGTCTCTCTGTCCCTCTCTGTCTCTCTGTTTCTCTGTCTCTCTGTTTCTCTGTCTCTCCATTTCTCTCTCTCTCTCTCTCTCTCAGCTAATTAGAAAACATGGATGTATGTATGTATGTGTGTGTGTATATATATATATAAACACACACACATACATCCATGTTTTCTAATTAGCTGACATTTAATACTTAGATTTATGCATACATGGAATTATATATATATATATAGATAGATAGATATATGAATATATATATACATACATATGTATATATATGCATGTATGTATGTGTGTGTGTGTCTGTTTATGTGTGTGTCTGTTTATGAGTGTGTGTGTGTGTGTGCGCGTGTGTGTGTGTGTGTGTGTGTGTGTATTATGTGTGTTTCTTTTTAGTACCCACCATTTTCTTTCTCGAAAGAGTTTGGGTTGAGTTGTTAGTTGTTTGTATAACTATACTATACCAACTTGAATACTACATGTATTTTTGAAGTAGTCGGAATTCCATTTTCTGAATTATCACTGACTTTTATTTGAGATTCACTGATGCTCTTTCTCATATCCCGCATAAGAAATGAAACTGCCACAAAGAGAAAGAAAAATAAACAATGGATGAATTAGCATTTAATATCTATACATAATATTACAACACTGGTGTTTTTGAATTACGAAACCTTTCACACAATATAACTGGTTACTAGAACGCCATTTTAAAACACAGTGTCGCAAGGTTATGGAGATCAATGAAAAAATAATAATAATATACGTTCCTTTTAGGAAATGGCCAGATTATTCTTAACAAATTCAGAAAGGCACTTCGGATCTAGTAGCCTCCAGGCTAGTACAGTGGTAACGTGTCGGCCTCTCATCCGAGGGGAAGTTGCAATTGTCGCCTGGAGGTTACTGCCGTGGCTGGGCACCACGGTGGGTAAGGACTAAGCTCATCCGAGTAAGCACCTGCTGACACACTGTTAGCGAATCGACATTAGTCGGCACAGGCCGGGCTCCCCCATAGCCCGGGCGAGGCTCAGCTTCGCATATCGGACTTATCCTTATCCTTATCGGATCTAGTATCAGGTGATTTCGTTCTAGTTCATCCAGAAGTATCATAAGAATAATCAGTAGAAGCGTAGATGAATATACGTAAGGTATATTTTTTTCAGAAACTGATGATAAGCAAGTTCTTGGAAAGCAATCACAAACAACCACAGGGTTGTAAATACTTCTGCAATAGCCATTTTATACAGTAATGATCGCTTAAATAACCTACGATTGTTTATTTAAGCCAATCTGACTTTAACCTATTAAACTGGTGCAGCGCAAGCCACTAAGAAAACACAAAGAGGAATCATCCTAAAATCGAACTGAGAATCTTACCCAAAACAACTGCCGACGTTTATTCTTGTGCTTGTTTTTGTTTACTACAACGTTGAATTTGTAATAATGTATATCTATGAATATCTATGACAATTCATTAGAGTTATTAGAGCACTAGATACTCATCTATGTGTAATGTCCTTGTGCGTCTGGCAGCGTCGGGAAAAAGCTGTTACTTTTGTCATTGAATGTGTAACTGTACATCATTCACCTGCAACAGAAGCTCTGGATAACTAGTTTTGCTTTAGTATTGAAACGAACTGTCGTTTCAATACTCATTATGTATAAGTACATGACATTGTGACCCAGCCTACGAGATGCGTGGGGATTTCTACGTTTCACTACATGGAGCGTGTCTCGTCAGACTTCCATTGTCTGGATATTACGAGGGAAGAAAGTTCTGCCAAGACAAAGGAAAAAGAGGGAAAATTAGTAAACCTGACAATAAAGATGTGTCTTGACGACGTATATAATTTCGAAGATAATAAAACTTAGAGATTAACCAGGCATTTTTGTAACAGGTTTTCGCCATCACCCAAACAGGTTCTGGACAAATGCCTTGTGGGAGTTTGTGACGTCTGATGCGTCTGTAATGACAGTATTGTTGATGGTGCGATGTGTGCATATATCAATATTTGACTGCCTAGCAGCAGGATTTCGCGACTTACAATATGCGGATGGCGTGTAAGTTGTTAGATGTCTGCTTCAGATGCATTTGTAAGGCTTATAGCCTTTTCAGACAATGAAGTATTCGTCACAGCTGATGTCTGCTCCGAATTCTCTTGAACTTTTGAAGTCGGGGGATTCGATAACGTCCTGACAATGAATATATCCACATTACTAGATATGCATGGCGGACAAGGGACATCTGGTAGCTGCGTACTGCCTGTAATTCTTGAAACTGATTTTCTGACACTAGTAGTATTACTGGTGGAACCCGAGTCCATTTGGGTCTTCGTGGTTCTTTGTCTGTTCTCCACGCATCCTCTTACGAAACTGAATCGCGATATGAAGTTGCCACAGGGACGCAGAATCTAGGAATTAACAGGAAGGATATCACTTTAGTTTAACTATGTTGAAATATAGCGAGGTGTATAATGAAAATTATATAACGAAAACATGTGCTCGCACCACAAACAGAACGCACACACACACACACACACATATACGCACATACACACACACACACACACACACACACGCACACACACACACACACACAAATGCACGCACGCACACACACACACCACACACACACACACGCACGCACGCACACACACACATACACACACACACACATACACGCACACTATCTCTCTTTCTCTCTCACACACACACACACATATATATATAACAAAGCAGTCATAGGTATATCAACACTAATTGTTTTACGAGCCTGTGCCTCACCATACAGCATATTCACTATCACTATTGTCACCATTAACAACATACCAGTCGACGGTTGTTTTTGGCGCAGGTAGAGACGAGGAAGATCCAGAGGCCTTGCAACTCAACGACCACTTCACACAATATTACCCTGTAGACATCCTGGAATTAGTTGATGGTGAAAATGATGGTGATGGGAAGATGCTGAGGAAAGCGATGGTGAGGATAATAGTGGTGGTGACGATGATGAAAGTGATGGTCGCAAGGATTGATGGTTGTGATGATGATGGTGAGGTTGATATTTTTGATGATGACGGGGAAAATGTAAGACCGAATAAGTAATAACAGTTTTGGCTGCAATTAGAACAGCTGTCAAGGAAAAAAGACAAATCTTCAATCTTTTGAATTATTTTACATAGAACAGTTCTGCTATGTAACTTATACTTATACGGCAAAGGATCTGTAATGTTTACACCACGTATGCATATAAGTTGCCCTAAACACACACATCTCTATATATTGTTTTTGCTCACTCTGTCTCTCACTGCCTCTCTTCCTGTCTCACTCTTCCTCTCTCTCTCTCTCTAGAAAAGGGCTGTATCCTCACGTTACTCACCCGAAATGGCATTCATCAGTGTGTGTGAAAAGCTCCACACACCAAGCTATTCCCATCACCATAAATAGACGAATAAAGAGTTTGTACCTGCAGGAAAGAAGTTCAAATTAGTGTTGCTCTTAACTAGAAGAGAAAGAGAATGTGTTTATCACTAAGAAATAATGTTGTAGACTGATACCTTGTCAAATTAACTTAATTATTTACATGCTGACTATCAAGGTACCTTTACACACACATGTACCTTGTTGACCAAGAAGAGGGTAAACAACAACCGCTGTATTGGATAAAGACTGCTGAAAGAGATATAAATCTATTCAGTTGGGAGGTGTCTGCTAAGGTTATATGTATAATTGACTGTGGTCAGGTACTGTCCTTAAGATTTACTCGTCTTCCTTAGCTTGTGGTAAAAGAATTGGTCGCTTGAAATTTTAGGGTATATAATATGTATGTAGAGAAGATGAGAATCGATAGTATGAATTGTTTACAGATATTACAGTTACTTCCTTGCCTCGCCCCTGAATTAACATGGAAATTAGACAGGCCCCCACCACATTTTCAACACTTTCAGTATCGGTATATAGGCTTGCTATAGGCCAATAATCCGTGTTGGAATTCCCCTAAGTCTCAGAATCTCCCATAGCAATTCTCAATGCACTAAATCAAACGCCTTCTTGAGGTTGATGTAGGCTACAAGCAACTCACGGTCAAACTCACATCGTCGTTCCACAATTACTGGAAGCACTAGGATGTGGGCTATTGCAGACTTGAATCCAGACTGCTCTGGTCTCTGCTGCCTTAGTAGATGGTCGTGGATCCGTTTCAGAAGAATGTGGGCGAAAACCTTGCCCAGTGTAATGAGCAATGTAATACCATGGTAGTTACTACAGTCCCAACGATTCCCTTTCCCCTTCCAGAGAGGGATGACCATGCCCCTCAACAGGTCAGGGGGAATGGTACCAGACTGCATGCAAGCCCCGAGCCATAGGTTCACCCCCAGTCTTTAGCAATTCAGCAGGGATATCACATATGACTGCTGCTTTCCCACACTTCAGCTTGGAAATCGCCATCCTAACCTCAGTTAGGTTAGGAGGTTCCTCGCTGATGGGTGATATTGTGATACCACTAGCATCCAAGCTAACTGTTGGAGGGTCTACCTGATACAGCTGCTCAAAATACTCAGCCCAACGTTCACGATCCCCAACATGATCTGAGATGATCTGTCCATCCACTGAGTTGACTGAAGTCATCTGTGAGGAGGACTTGGAGATCAGTTTTCTCAGGGCTTGGTTGGAGCATACAAAGCGGTGTTACCTCAACTACTGAATGTTGAAGTTTGCTGGAGATGGCTATGGCTTCTCCCTTTGCCACGGCCTGACCAGTAGGTGTATCCACCCATACTGAATGTGAATAACTCTCATTCCCATCTTGCGCCCCAACATTTACCCTCCCAACAGGACCTACAGCCCGCCTTACTTGCTGGGGGGGAGGGACAGCACCCCTCCCCCAGCTTATCCATTTATTTCTGTAGCTGCCAGTGAGTTATCTGGGGGAGGAGGGCTGACAAGGCCCAACTCCTCCAAGCCGCCCATTAACCCCAGGGTGGCTGAGGGGCAAGAGTTGGTACGGAGCCAGGGCGTGTCCACACACCGGTGGGCCATTGCCCCGTACCTCTGGGGGCTCCTGCTGCTTCAAGGTCCCCCACAGTTTAGCCTGGGACTGCATGGTGCCCAGTTTCTATGGGTGGCCACGAGGAGGCACTGCAGAAGTCTCGATGATGTAGAGGCTGTGGACTGGCAGAGCTGCTCCCTTTTTCACACTAGGGTAGCCAGCAGAAGGCATGCAAGCACTAAACACTATCGAGGCTACCACACCATCGCACCATCACCCTGAGCATGAAGCACCCACCCACAGTTATTTGGTGAATAATAATTGAAAAGGCTTTATCGCAACTTGTATAAATTTTGTATCTACCAATATTAGCATGCATTCAAACAAGTTCTGTCCCTTACGTGGCCACACATATACAACCTATAGCAGATTACTATTTCAGAATATAACAGGAAATATAATCAGTAAACAGAGGTATTGCCAAACCAATCTCAAATTATATAAAGGGCTACTTATATATATATATATAAATGAATGCCATTTAATAAGTAAAAGTCACATGAAAAGTACACTACTTACCTGTCTTTCAGCCTTCTATTAGTCTGCAGGCCTTGGTCTATATCTTGAAACTGCTTCACCAAAAGGATCATCAGATGGACAAAGAAATACAGGTTCACCAGCATCATCAGTAGCATAAGTCCGTTCCTATAGAACCACACGGTGGTTTGATCTGTAATCCGGTTCCGGGAAATTATGTTTATACATATGTATGTATGTATATATATATTTAGATAAACACACACATACATACATACACATACACACACGCACACACATACATATATGTATTTATGGATATATAGATAGATTAATGGATAGATGTGTGCATGTTTATATATATATATACATATATATCAATCAATCATTTGGAGCTAACGCCGGAAGGGGCGCATAGCCGCATCCACCCTTCATTTCCACCTGCGAGGGTCTCTCATGGCGAGCTGCCAGGCAGGGGCCCGGCCCATCTGTAGTTCCTTATGACGGGTTTGATCGATCTGCCCAAGTCACGACCTTCTTGGCCGTCCCACAGGCCTCCTCCACCCGGGATTGTCTCGGACAGAGACAACTTGGTGGTTAGGGTCATCCTGCGGGAGTTGAGCCGGTCTCACGTTGGTTGGACACATGGTCCCGCCAACTGTACCCCATGATCTGGTGCAAGGATCTATTACAAAAGAATCAAGACAAAATTCCAAGGCATAAGATAGCGTCCAAGTTTCACTACCATATAGTAAAACTGGCAGTATCAGGGCCTTGAAAACACATAGCTTGGTCCTTCCGCACAGGTACCGGCATCTCCAAATACTCTTGTCGAGAGATTTCATGACCTCTGCTGCCAGCCCAATCCATCTACTGATTTCCTGGTCTGACAGCCCAAAGTCTTGAACTGCACTACCGAGGTATATAAAGCTCTTGATAACTTCAATTTTTTTGCCGCAAGCACGTACCAACTGCACAGGGTCTCCTAGTAGGCCTCCAAAATCCTGGATCTTGGTCTTGATCCAAGAGACCTCTAGTCCCAGGGGCTTCGCTTCATTGCTAAATGCATCAAGAGCCGCCACTAGGGTTTCCAGAGATTCAGATAAAATGGCAACATCATCAGCAAAGTCAAGGTCAGTAACCTTGATATTGGCCAGAGCTTGCTCCACAGTGACTTTGGATAGTAGCTCTACCCAGTATCCAATCCTTGCAAGTGTTGAAAAGTGTTTGTGCAAGAACACAGCCCTGCCTCACACCTGAACTAACGGGGAAGAAGCTCGACAGGCCCCCACCACACTTTACAGCACTTTCAGTGCCTGTATATAGGTTTGCTATTAATCCAATAATCCTTGTTGAAATTCCTCTTAGTCTCAGGATTTCCAGAGAGGGATGACCACACTCCTCAGCAGGTCAGGAGGAATGGTACCAGTCTGCCAGATGGTAGACAGGACAGCGTGCAAGCCTCTTGCCATAGATTCTCCACCAACCTTTAACAGTTCAGCTGGGATCCCACAAACGCCTGCTGCTTTATCACCCTCCAATTTGGAAATCGCCCCCCTGACTTCAGTCCGGGAGGGTGGATCCTTGCTGATGGGTGGTTCTGACCTCCTCTGCAAGATTCCTGATAAGCTGTTCCATATCCATTCTCAGCAGTCCTGCGCACCAGGGAACAGTGCAAGTTGCAATCCACTGACAATCGAGCCGCACGACAAGCATCTGTGACTTCCAGTATCTCCTGCAAGATGAAATTCTGTGTTGCCCCTTGGTATTCACCAAGAGATAGCCCTAGCAAATCCCCGGGCACACTCACTCTCCCTCAATCTATCCACATGAAGCACCCTAAGGTTTTCATTGAAGCAACAGGGGGTTCTAAAGTGGACCCGGAGAGTAGCCACAACTAATCTATGATCAGTTTCACGGAACTCGGTGCTCCGACACACCCTGCAGTTCTGGAGGATCCTCCATCGAGTGCTAACGAAGATGTGGTCGATCTCCTTGGCCACATTACCCATATCGCTGTACCAAGCCCAACGATGCGGGTCAGAATGCTGATACCAGGAGCCAGAAATCCTCAATTTCTGAGACCTAGCAAAGTCACGGAAAAGGAGGCTATTCTTACTACTCTCATCAGCTCCTGAGCCATGAGGACTGACAGACATATCGTAGCCAGCTCGATCGCAGCCAGACAACGCATTAAAGTCACCCAGAACAATATGAATATAACACTGAGGACAGCTGTCTGTCACAGATGCAAGTTTGGCGTAAAATATCTCTTTCACCTCAAATTTATACACATCCGTAGGAAGTGTACATAGCAATAAGAGACATGAAGTTTCAGTCTCAATACCATTATACGCTCATCGACTACCGAGGGTTGAAGTCTGCTGAAG